ACCTTCATCTCCTTCCCTCACTGTCCGCAAAACCCTGCCCACGTGAGATGTTCATTCTTCCAGCCCGTCCTGCTGCAGGCCTTGCCCATCCCTTTCTTTCGCAGTCTCAATCATTTATTCCCTGCCGCAGCCCTGACCTTACACCTCGGGAAGGTTAAATCAGTCATTCCGCTTTCTCCTTGCTTTTCTCTCCTCGTTTTGGGGAAATCTCTTGACAAGCTATTCAGGGGATTAAGCAGGACTTATCTGGTTGCAAACACACTATTTGAATTCACAGATCAGGACTTTATCCGTAGCTGCAGTGTGCCTCAGGTCTGCGGCTGCGGGAACCGGTAGGAGTTCCCCTGTTGGCTTTAGAGGACCTGAGTTTGCTGCCCTGCTTTTGCACGAGAGGATGGCTTCAGACTGCATTAGCCAGCTCTGGACAAGGCGTTTCTGTTTCAGACTCCTTTCCTATCCCTTTGTGCTCTTTTGCTCCTGTCTTCATGCTGAGGGTGTTTGCTGGCTGCCTTGTAGCGAGATTTGTATTCGGAAAAGCAGGTGATCTTTATCAGAAGAGCAGGACCTTGTCTCATTAGTGCATTTTCCTCTCTGGACGTGAAGCAGAGGAGTGAGAGGCAAGACGAGACCCGTCTTGCAGATACCTGCATTCGGAATGGCAGACGAAGCGTGTTCCCCCCTCCCACCCCTCCTTGGATATGAGCAGCCATCTCTCTGTGGCGTGGGTGTGTGCGGAGGAGGGAAGCGGTGCCTGGTGGTGCTTTTACCTGCCTGGACCAGAGGGACAACGTTTACTGGGGCACGGAGACAAACTGCCCCCACTGCACCTTTGCATCCCAGCACTGGGACAGATCCAGTGTGATCGACGGGCTGTCACCTTCGGAGGAGTGTGATGGCATTCTCTAGTCTTCCTGGAAATTCCCATTCTCGGAGAGCATGTTCTGATTTTATACACACAAAGCAATAATTAAAGAAGAGAAAAGAGAGGTTATGTTTCAGGCAGTCAAAACTAAAGCCCTCAGCTGTTTTTATCATGTCTTCCCTTCTCTCTCTCTCTCTCTCCTGAATTCACTCTCTCTGGATAGCAGAAATGAGAGGTAAGCTCCATTTAAATGCAGATTTCAAATGTTGGCCAACAGCAATAAATAGCCCTCTGCTACACTGATCAGGCAAACATCATCAAGTCGCTTTGTGAGGGAGAGGGAGAGTTTATGTTTTTAGATTTTCTTTTTCCTTGATGAGATCCTCTTCCCTCTCAGAGTAATAGCATATTGGCAACTTTTTATTTTATTTTTAAGCAGCACTTTAGAGATTATAATGGAAACAGAATCCCACCTGTTTCTCCACTGGAGCTCTACTTGACAGCCCTGTAATGAGCAAGTCTGCAAATTTCTTATCCTTTACTGTATCGACAGCCTGAAGGGTTGATACTGTATTCAGCAGACTGGAAATGTGCAAAATAAGGCGATCCTGCAACCGTTTTTAAACAACTGACCCTCAGGTGAATCTGGTTTTGGAGATAGTTTGGGGCTGATGAAGTCAGAAGTGGCTGCAGGTGGGTCTCTGGAGATAAAGGCCCTGCAGGTGATGGGGAACAGGAGGAAAGGGAGAGGTGGAGGTCTGGGATGATTCTCCCGAATCCCAGGGCATCTCCTGAGGCTGGTGTGCGCAGGCAGGAGGTTGATATGTTTGGCTGGTGTGCCTTGGGTCTAAAGGGTTCCTGGTCTTGAGAGTAAGGACTGATCAGCTCCAGAGGTAGGTATTGCATCTTCTACACGTCTAAACCTGGTTGAACTGAGGTTACAGACCTCTAATTTGAGAGTCTATTCATCACAGGAACATAGAGGCTGTGAGGAGTATGTTTACAGAATAAATCAGAAGAGGTTGTAGGTGTGATCTTAACCTGTCAGGGGAGACACTGGAGAAATATTGCTGATGGCTTTATATAATTTTAACTTGGAGGGACAGGTTAAGAACAGTGAAATATCGTGTTTGCTAAGCCAGCTCTTTGCTAAATGTATATCTTCAAGAGATGACTCAAGGTGGCTGTTGTGTTTCTGAGGATGGGTTTACCTCTCAGTGGTATGGAAAGCGTCTGAGAAAATGTAGCAATACTTAATAAAGTTAACAGAGAAAGGTTAGCTGAACGTTGTCGTAGAGTGTGTATAAACCTCCTGGTAACATCTGTTCCCTGTTATTGTTATAAAATGCTACTTCATTAGATCTTGGTTGGATCATGAATTAAATAGTGCTATGTAGTAAAACTTGGATCGTGTTAGGCTTGTCAGAGTGCATATGTTGTGAGTCTGGCTGGTGGCGGGTAGCACTCTGGGGAGCCACATGGCTTGGGGGAATGGGAGAACGGAGGCTTTCTGCTTTTTTAGCACTGGTTGAAACCCAACTGAGGGTGGAAGGGATTAAATTTCAGTGCTGTCTGTAAACTGGCTGGTGCACTCAATAGGCTGAGCTGCTGTGTGTCAGCCCAGCTCTGGGAAGACAGCTGTCTCCACCGCTGCAAGCACACAAGCTGACAGCGCTGCCTGTCCCCCCGCTCGCTGCCTTGGTGAAAAGGAGCAGGACCGAATAGTTCAGGGTGAGAAGTGAATTTCCTTCCTCCACCTGGGTAAGAGGAGAAAAGGCAGAGGAATTTGAGCACCTGCCTTTCATGCTGCATATCCAAGGTGATAAACTCATCTGGTTTGTGGGGTTAAGTGTGAGGAAGGCCTGAGCATATTGAATAAAAAGAAGAATTACCACTACGTAAAGGATGTTTGTCAGGATTGGAACATCCCATGGGAAAAGATGTTTCCAGCCAGTTCTTCCTGAGAAAAGCTCAGCCTCTGCCAGTCCTTGCTGGCTTCACTTGATGTTGTCTGACTCTGTGAAATCCTGAGCATCCCTGAATCAGACCCAGGTGCTCTTGACTCCCTCTGAAATACTTTTCTCATAATTCATAGAGTCTAGATTGGAGACACTTATTATGATAGGGAAGATAGAAGTGATTTTCGAGGCCAACAAAGTTCAAAGACTTTGCTGTAAGTTTTCAGGATTAAAGATTTACTTGATGCATCTTCCCATGTTTAATAGACAGGAATAGATGAAAGGGAATTTCTGTAAAGATTTTCGTTCATACTTAATGATGCTGCTATTAGATGAGCTTTGGCACCGTGTCCTGAGACATGAAGTTTTAAAACCAACCTTTTTTAAACATTAAATGACCTTTTTTCATCCACTAGCTTTAATAAATAAAGATTAGTTCAGCCTCATTACCTAGTCTGTTCTGGGAGCTTGGTTTAATATGTGGTAAAACTAACTAGTCTCCCAAAATGCAAGCGAACAAATTTTGCTGGTTTTCCATCCCAAGCCCCACGGGGAGATAGGCAGCAGTAATACAGTTGGATTAGTGGCTGGGCTCTGGGGTGCCACTGTTTGCTGGTTTGTGTTGTTGTTTTTTTTCCTCAGCTGTAGGGAAGTTTTCAGCAGTTCCAAAAATAAAAATGGAAAACATTGTGGATAAAGACAAAAAAAGTATTTGTGCGAACATTCGTGCTTAGCTTGCTTGAGGATATTAATTCAAATGCTTTAGTTTCAATTCTTTTATTTTCAAAATGTATTTTATACATTAGTAGGAGTGAATTTTGTTTAAAAACTGACAAATGAAGGACATATTTAAAAATGTTGTCCAATTTAGTGATTTTTGAAGCTTTAAATTAGAAAATAATTAATCCAAGAATGCTGACGTACACTCCCCCACCGCTGATCTTTAATTTTGCTATGTCAGCACCTAGAACATAAGCGGCGCTTTGTGATGTTCATCAGATGGAGTACAGTGCTTTACCCTTTCCTGGAAACAGGGCTGTAGTGAAAAGTTTCCCCGTGTCAGACAGTTTTATGTCTGAGGACTCGGCTGCCAGCTACTTTACCTCTTTCACTCTGGTTTTCCCTTTCTGGGAGAAAAAAAAAAAAAAGCCAAAGCCAAACCTGCTGCAGCACAGTGACACGTTTCAAATCTTCCAGAATGCGCCCAGCTGCTGTGGTGAGTTCCCTGTTTCCCCGACACACAAACCAGCAGAGCCCCACTAATCCCCGCTTTGCTAAACTACACGGCGCGGGGCCTGACTCGGTGCCGAGCTGCAGCTCCATCTACGCCCCAGCAGTTCTGAATAGCATCGCCCCTTTTGCAATGATTTTTGGGCAGGGAGGATAAGCATTGGTGCCTTTCTAATATACACGACAAAAGCCAGCGCTGTTCTTGCCCAGGTACGATGGGATAGCTGCATTCTGGGAGGAGGCCTCCTATTAGCAAGGATAAACTCGCTGAGGTGCAGAAATTGTGCCAGCTTGTAAAATAAAACACCGTGATTAATTCTCCATGCCAGTTTCCTTTTTGCCTTCCGTCAAGAAAATAAAAATAATAACCCATACTATCTCCTTCTGCCTAACAGATTTGAGTGGGCAGGCGCAGGAGCTGAGTTCAAGAGTCAAGTGCTTTCTGTTTGAAAAATATTTGTCCCTTCCCACCCACGGCTGCCCACGTGCTTCTTGAAATATTCCCGCTATCAGCACCGTAGCAATGCTTTCTTGAAGGCATAAACCCAGGCTATCTGGAGACGTTCTGGGATGTGAGACAGTGCGGGGATGCAGAGCTGGGCATCCTTTTCTAGGGATGAGCACCCAAGGTGAGCAGGCAGCTGCGGTGGGCGCCTGGCGGTGCAGGCAGCCGT